GGCGGGTACAATGCTAGTTTACTATTGGCTATTGCAAATTGAAATAGCCAATAGTAATGTAGCAATTCATTTCAATGGGAAACATTTTTTTTTCTATTCTGACATCGCTCCGTGTCAGAATAAAGAAAAAAAAAGAAACAGCAGTGTTTCTCTCCTTGGAGGCCGGGAGCAGGAGACTCCCGGGGCGCCAGGGAGAGTTAACTGTTTGGAGATCAGTGCCCCTGGTTAGCAGGTAACCAGGGACGCTGATCTCTCTGCAAGTGGCCTGAGCCAGCCGGAAGATCACGGCTGGCTCTGCCCAGCTGTCAGAAGCAGGCTGTCTGCCGGCCAATGGCCGGCCGCTTGGCCAGCCTCGGCTTTCAGCACGGCTCATCCGAGCCGATGCATATGCGTTTGGCTCGACTGAGCCGTTCCGCCACATTCGGGAGCTGTACGGGCTATAGTGAATAGCCCGTACAGCACCCCTTCGGTTCTACTGAACCGAAGGGGTCCTGGGGCCGAAGTTAGCAGAAGTTAGCCGAGGGATCGGCCGAAGCTACGGCTAGATCCTTCGGCAGCTTCGTGAATAGACCCCAAAGTATCTCTGAGGAGAATGCAATATCCCCTCAGAATAGTTAGTTTCAAAAGCCCCTGTAAAAAAAATAACCCCTTAGTACCCCCCTAGTTTAAAAAAGTAAACAGTTTAAAAAAAAAAAATTAAAATAGGAGAAAAGGAATAATAAATAAATAATAAAACATGTTTAATAAAACGATGATAACAAAATATAGTGCAGAGGAGACTATGGAAGTTGGGAGACAAATATACCACATTCTAAAGATGTTCCACACTAACATTGTATTTCATTACTTGTATTTTGTGACCTATAACTTCCAAAATAAACTGAAATCCAAGACATGTAATAACCCTATAAATCAGAACAAGTAAAAACATTTATTATGTATTACTTTCTGTTAGCTACACAAATTATGTACACATTATTATTGCCAAAACTGTGCAAAAATTAGTTTTTTTCTATTCTTTTTTCCATTATTTTTGAATTTTTTGTATATATTATTTTAAAAAAATAAGAACCTATAAATTCATATATCACAGCAAATTAAAGCCCATTTTAGTCTTTAAAAATCGTATATAAATTGGATGGGTGCAATGAATGAGGAAGATTAAATTATGGTTAAACAAACACATTGCAAAATTGTTCCAGTCCCCAGGAATGAAAAAAAATTCTGAAGTTGTGTCAGATTGTCTTTGTTATGGTCTATGTTTTGGTTTATAATGTTTTTCATTTTGTGTGTTTGCCCGGTAGCAAAAGAGCTGTACAACTTTTCCAAATAACACTCATAAATACGTTTAGATGTCATACAAAGATGTAAATATAAACACTGATCAAGCTGCAAAGAGACTTCAGATGTTGATCATATGAACTGCCGCACATAAGCGGTGATGGTTCTGACCTTTTTTTTCGGTGGGGGGAACAATAGTAACCTAACCAGTCAACTATTATTTTCGTGAATGTGTAATCTACAATTTCTGCAAAGTACCGCTTGACATAACACCTGCAGCTCTGTTGGGCTTTACTGTGCCAGACTGAGACATGATAACCTTGTATGAATGGGTACATTTACTGAAAAACTGACATGAGTTAGAAATAAAGAGTCTTGACACACTTGCCGCACACACAGGAGTGAATTGGTAATATTGTGTCCTTTTGTACTTTCTGTGACAATTCACCTAAACCAATCCTGAGGACACATAAAATATTTGTATCTAGGCTCTAGCTCAGAGCACTGAATTTTTGCAGACATCTGTAGTTTAGCCCAAAGCCAAATTAATCTGTTGCAAAAAAGATATTATAATGTAAAGTAAGCCATATTGTCTTAGGTGCTCTATTCACTTTTATTTTGTCTAAATGTAACTTGACCATTTAAAAGTTGAGTCACTGTCATGTGTTTGAAATTGTGTTAATACCATTGCTGTACATTTGCACTACCACTTTTCTTTGTATACACAGCTCCAGAAGGTATCTGATAGGTTTGCTTTCTCTTTTGCTTCCCCTTGCCCCCCAGTGAACAACTTTGAACTAAATTTTAGAGGGCCTATGTCACAAGACCTAAAAAATGTTTAACCTCTTGTGGACCTTGGCATGCTTCATACACCTTAAAACTTCAACAAAGTGCACAGGGCATACAAAGCACACCCTGTCACATTTTCCCTGCTGCCAATAATTCCATTGTTCTTGCCAGCATTTTGACAGCCGGGACTTGCTGCATATTGGATCGGGTAATTACAGTGGCTACAGCCACTGCTGTGAAAAAAATCTGAACCATGTTTGTTCAAAAGTTAAATTTAGAGATACAATTTAACATTATTGTTACGTTGTGTTCACTTTGTCTCCTTCATCTGCAAATAAAAGGGGTGACCTTTGATCTGCATATGAAGTCAGTTAAATCAACTAAACCATTAAGCAAAAGTTCAATTAAAATTGTTCCTATTTAACCCCAGCTTAATCCTCAGTTACTCTAATAACCCCTAAATAACTAATTCTTCATCTTCTTTCCTTAGATAATGTCTTCTGCTGATTTATTTTAATTACAATTTTTTTAATCCATTAATATTTACATTTCTAGCTGTTTTCATTCTTTTTTTCATTTTTTTGTATGACTTTCAAAAATATAAAAGGTATTTCATTCATTTGTAAATAACGTTGCAATGTTTTGTACCAGACTTGTTATTTTAGTATCATTAAAATGGAGACAAATGCAAAATAACACAATTTACACAATGTATTTATAGTAACCTAAGTTTTAAAACTAATACTACTAGTTAATATACAAAAAATGTTTGTTTTGTTTTGCTTTTTGTCTATATATTGTATAGGAAACAAGATCATTTTCGCAAGAGGGTATCATCAAAAGAAAACCTTCTGCCTGTGGTGGACTTTCCGTTCCTCCCTGTAATGAGTCCCGAGGGGTCAGACCGCTCGGGTCTCCCCATGTGCAGGGACGGGCGATTTGCGTTCCATGGTGGAACGCGGAAGCCGCTCGACTTCTGGATTGCGGAGCGAGCGGCCTGCGTTCCACGGTGGAACGCGGAAGCCGTTAGTTCTGGCGATTGACTCCTCCCCCATCCCTAGGCTATTTAAAGCCCCAGCTGAGGCAGCATGGCGTTCCACTATTGGAGTCAGAACGCCTGCTGCCTCCTGACGCCTGAACCCAACCTCTCCCAAGCCTCTGATACATTCACCCCTGCCTGGGAAGGACTCAAACTTGACCAGCCTGTGGACCTGCTCCTTGTTTCTGAAACTGCAGCTCCAAAACGCAAGTATCCCTCCGGGGAAGCCTGAAACCAGACCTTTTGGCTCTTTAACGCTTGAGTGGATACAGACTGTATTGAGTTACCTGAACTGTTCCTTCTTGGGGAAATCCCTGGCATATCAGTGGTTAAGTGTCAATTCGCTACCTGTGTACCTGCAAACGTACCACCTGTTTTCAGTTAGTAGTGTAATAGGCTATGACACAATAGCTCTGCATCTAACTTGTTTTCTGTTACCTACGGCTGTGATGCTAGAGTCCCAAACTCCCCGTTTAAGATTGGGAGTGACGCCTGGGACTCGAACCTGAGAATCCGTCTCCACCCACCAATCCATTGCTACACTCCGCAGTTGTGATCCCCTACTTGCCACTACAGCAAGCGTGACACTCCCTCAGACTCACTCTAAGATTGAGATCTTAAGACTTTTTGGGGTATTGACTTTGTGGTCTCCTGCAGTCTCCAGAAGAGATAACGTTTGTTCCATCAAAACAGGGTGATCATGGGGGTATGATATATACAATGCTTCTACTGTATATTCTAATATATACCAGAAATTGCACAATTAGCTCTGAGGAGGCAGACTATGTCTGCAACACTTGTCACTATTATAAGGTACTTTCCCTGCTCATCTACACATACTGCTCAAACGTTGAAACATTGTATGGTCTGCTGGCTTGCAACGTCTGACCATCAATTAGGGCCCCATTCTGGTGTTCAAAATGGCTCCTTTTGCCCTTCGGAGTCTAGTCTAATATAGGGATGGTTTCTACAGACTTACATGGAGAAGCACAGATTGGTGGGCCTCTATTACTAATCTTATCAAATTAGAATAGATCTCTGGGATTGTGTACTTTCCAAATGTCCTTTGTTACTAAAAACCAACCACTTTCAATGAAAATCTTTAACAAACTAACTGTCCAGAATCCTGGAGGGCAAATTAAAAATGCAATGCTGTTTATAGGGCCTACCCCAGGTCAATGTATACACCATTAAAAGGCTGGCCAACTTTATTGCTTTCTAAATAAGGAGATGCTTTAAAGCTGGTAGCTGGAGACAAAAATGTTTTTTTAATTAATTACATTTTTTGTTAAGTGATGTCATTTTCTTTTTAGTTGGAGTTATAGACCCTTGTTTTTTTTCCAAATTTTGCTTCTTAGATGGAAAAGTTCTATTGCTTATAGTAGTCAATAGCTCAAACTGAAATTTACAAATAAAAGTGAATAACTCATAGCACTGAATACTGTATTACATGGCTCAATATAAAATCTCAGAAAAACAAACAAAACGAATCTTAAAGCAGGCAGCCTCTGCTGTGCTTTGTCTATAGCTAACCAATAGAGCAACGTGAATTCTTTGTTATGCAGTTAATGTTTCTTTATAGCACAAAGGTTGTATATACTGTAGTTAGTAAAAAAATATATTTTTACGAGACTGATATAAGATAACAAGTAAGTGAAGAAACTAAATGTATAGCTTTGGATGTAGTATATTTGGGTTTTTCTTCAGCATGTAAATAGATATAAAACTATCTTAAAGATCACAATCAGCCAGTGGTGATTCATAAAAGGTTCAACGTTGTTAGTGGCATACTCAAAGGTTCAGTTTTAGGACTATTACTTTAAACCTGCTCAGAAACTATATAGAGCCTTCATGCCCAACACATGCCCTGGATTTCAGTGTGCTGTCTACCATGTTCTGGGCAGGCTCTGGCACCTGTTGGGCACTTTGCAGACCAACAGCAGGATGCCAAGTGCTGGAATGCTGTCTATGGTCCATCACCTTGCACTGAAGCAAAGCCGGTACTGCCAAGTAAAGTGATCTCTGTCCAACAGCATAAGTACAGTCCCAGATGGATGGGGTAGTAAGCAAGAGAGTAGCGTGGGAGCATGTGCTCATGTACATTATTTTAGAACAATGTTTTGGGGGGGTAAATATTTCAGCCACTCACCACCAATGGGGGATTGTTAAAGAAAAACACTGTCACTGATGACCAATGGGGTGGGAGGATTTTACATAATACTGCTACTGACCACCAATGTGGGGAGGTAGGTTAAAAAAATACTGATATTGATCACCAGTGCACCAGGGGGTTTAGTAGTACTACCACTAATCCCAATTCTAAGAGTTATTATTGCAGCCACTGACATTAATGCTCGGGGTTACTATTGTGTTCACCAACACCAATGCTGGGAGTTATTAATGGGCCCACTGACACCACTGCTGAGGGTTATTTTGCAGTAATTTACACAGATACTGGGGGTTTCTTGCGTTGCTCACTGACACCAATGTTTAGGGATATTATTGCATCCACTGAAATTAATAATGGGGCTTATTTTAGTACCACTTTACTCCCTCTCCTCTATATAGTTTTCAAGTTTACTACCACGCACTATGTCTTCTGACTGCACTGGACCGGAACGCAGGCACTGATGTGCCATACGTACCCGTGCAGCTGACCGCATTGCGGCCAGAGGATGTGGCTGTGGTGCCATTGAGTTCAATGTACCACCATGCCCCCACCCACTCCAAAACAACCGGAACGCACTGAAGCTGGTGTGAACTAGCTCTTTAACAGCTACAGTGCTTCCTGGTATCATCCGTTCACTGATTGGTTTCACTTGATGCATGGATGTTCATTCCAGTGGGCCTAATTATCAATCAATAAATCTAAAAGTATA